GCAAAGCCTCCCTTGAATCTGACTGAGGCTGTATCAAAGGCCACGCCTTTGCTTAGCTTCTCTCTGCGCCATCCTACATCCCTATTCTCCCATAGCATCCACCTAAATGAATGCCCCCTTGCAGGAAAATACTTGCTTCAGGCTCTGAGAACCCCAAGCTAAGACGGCACATCATGAGGCATGCAGAGACACATGTGGATGTCCCACTTCGGAGACCACAGTGGCTCATCTCAGCCAGGCAAGGTTTGAGACAGGAAAGAGAACACCTGGAAAGTTGATTCTGTCTACACATTGGATAACATAATGGGACAAAGGACTGGGATGGGAACAAAAGATCAGCGGGGATCCAAGCAAGAGTTGCTGCTTGGACCAGCCTGATGGTGAGGGGAAATGGGAAGAACATTTAGCAAAAGGGAACCCCTGCACGTGGCAGCTGAGAAGCCTTTAGCGAAGAGGAAGAAGCAGAGGTGGAGAGGAGTCATGCCTTGTGTGAGCACTGAGTGGAATGGGCTGTGTTTATGGAGCTAGCAACCCCCAGGGAGAGCACGTGGGTAGAGGAAGATGAATTTCATTTTGGACACCCACTTACCTCTGCCACCCAAGCCGAGTTCCCTTTCCTCAAAAAGAACTAGCAGTTCAGAGAAGCACCATATGCACAGTATCCTCATTGTGGATGCAAACGCCCAGGCACAAATCACAAACTGTGTTCAAGGCTATAAGGAGTAGGTGTTTAGTACAGCAGTCAAGGCACCAGTTAGGGAGACTGTGTCCCCTCGGGATGCCTGGGCTTGCACCTCTGCCCCTCTGCCCCTCCTTAATAAAAGTCTTTAAGGTATTTAGTTTATTTCGCTGGCAGTTTGTGGAGCACTTAATTGTGTGCAAAGTTCCTTGCTAGGCCTGAGACATATACCATGAGGTCAGCCCTGGTGGTCTCACGGGCTCAAGGCAAGACTTCATTGGACCAAATATCTTTATGGATTTTGGAGCCACTCATAATGAGCATCCTGTTCCTTTAATTGTTGTCTTACCTGGGGCATGTTGCATAATCCCTCTGATTCTCAGTTTCCTCATTCATAAAATGAGGAAGAAAATAGTGGCACCTGTTTCATGAAGCTGTTGTGAGGACCAAGTAGCATTATTAATAACTAGCATTTATGATCAAAAGTTCCAACTCCGTGCCCCTGGCACGCTGTAGGTACTCAATAAATACTTGTTGAATAAATTGAGTGGGAAAATATTTCCTTAAATATTATTCTTGCTATTCTTTGTTTTTATTAGTTAGCCTTCTAAGGAATTCCACAAGCTAGACATAATTGCCATCTCTCTCTCTCTCTTTTTTAAGTAAGAAGACGAGGTTCGTGAACTTTGAAGTTCGCCATCCAAGGTCACACAGCTAATCCATGATGGAGAATTCAGATGGTCTAAAGTCTGCAGCCTGAAGCCCCCTGACGTGTGTAAACCACAGAGATCAGGCATACAATCTGTGTTCTCTCAGTGTCCGAGGACTCTGGGAGCCAGATGTGGGTGTCTGGGTGCTTTCTGGGACATAATACAGCCCGGCAAGAACAGACCTGTGCTTTAGGAGGATGACTGTCTCCCAGGTAGAACCAGAACTAGAGTCAAGATGGGTGAGGTACTCACACTGTACGTAAAATTGAAAGGACAAAAAACAAACAAAAAAAAATCTCAATCACCCAGATATATACAAGCAAGGTCGGTGTTGCCCATTTTCCCCTTTGCCTATAGCTCCAATATGGTTCCAACCTTTAGTGTAAATGCTTGTATTTTGTTTCTGATGAGTATTTTGCAGTGATGAATATTATTCTGAGTTTGAGGCATCCCCTTAGGCTTATGCCTACTGTGGCTGGGTGATGGCTGCTCCCCTAAAGTTCACACACTAGAAACCAGCAGATGGATGATTTCTCTCTGTCTCTCTGTCTCTCTTTGTCTCTCTCTCTCTCCTCTCAGCAACCCTTTCAAATAAAATAAATTTTTTAAAGTAGACAAATACAAAAGCTTCCCATTATTTTGTCACAGCAATACAAAATGACTAAGATAGTGCTCAAGGCAACCACTTCACTGATCACCCCCTCCTACCTCTGCTCAACAGAGTCACTTCTCCCACAATTTCTGTTCACTTTTGTTCAAGAGAAAAACTATCCAAGACCTAGTTTCTCCATCTCTCATATGGGAGCTGCAACGCCCACGTCTCTGAGAGGCTGTGAGTGTGGGATGAGAGCCGACAGGTTCAAGCCTTGCCTGCCAGTAATGAGTTGCGTGACTCACGCCGGATGTTATGTGTGCCCACACAGCAGTGCCCTTGGCAGAACTGGGAGGCATTCACAATTTTCCGCTCTAAACCTTAATCCTCATCACACAGTTCATAACCTGTTGCTTCCTCCACTGCCTTCTGACCCCGCTACCTCCTCTACCCATTGGAGACAACCCCGAGTCACTCAATCCTGAAGACAGCCGGGGGCCAGGAAAAATATCCTCCAGGGATACACTGTAGAACCACTAAATCCACTCTGAACCGGGCAGTTGAAAACAAACACTGCTTCTTCCTCATATTGGAAAAACCATACATTGTGTTTCGAGGACTTCCAGAGAGGGTAGAAATATCCTTATTCTAGGGGTGGAGGTATGTGGGAGAGGAGGAGGCAGCTCAGCCTGATACCCTGCAGTCAGGACCATTTCCAAAAGCATCTTCGGGACATTTGCTATTCCAGTGGCATAAACCTGAGTCAGGTACACATGCTGGGACTCCTGAATATATTTACAAAGAAATCAGCATAATGCGTGGTTAATATTCAGAATGTGATTAATCCAAAAGCCCCATTTCTTATTCCAATTACATCCACTGCTCCCCTACATGGGCCAGATTTTGCTTAAATGCATATGGAATCAATTGGAGTGCCAGATTGATGGAGACTGCCGGGAGCCTGGCGCTCCAACGGTAATAAGTTATATCCCTATTATGTGGCGGGCAATAAAAAAAAAATCTGATATTTATTCTGCCGGATTTTGAGAAATTCTTGGAGAGAATCTAGCCTGCTGGAACAGTGAGACATACTTCACCCACAAATGTCCCCTCTGCGGCTCCACTGTTTAGAGGAGATAAGGCTGCCTTAGCAACACAGTGCCTGTGCACTTGAGGGGGTCAACCTGGGTGCCCGTAAGAGCTGGCAGCTTTCATCACCACAGACAGCTGATTCCTCTCTTCTCCTGTGGAAAAGCACAGGCTGTGTGACCTTAAGCCAAACTCTGACCTCTCTGAGCCTCCTTTTCTCCATCTGCTCAGTGGGAACAGCAGTTAGCAGTCACGGAGGTATATCTGTTAAAAGAACTAAATGAAACGATGAGCATGCTGGGCACACAGTTGGCACCTAACAGATGATTATAAACAGAATTCAAAAATGGAAGAACAGATCAAAGTGAATCCTCTTCACCTCATGAAGTCCTCAAAATATGTTAACCAGACCACCAGGAGAATAGGGAATGATTTTTGATGGTACATGGATAGTGGCTGTTATTTTAAAGTTATGCAGTTAAGATGTATTTACTTATTTGAAAGGTAGAATGACACAAACAGAGACACAACACACACACACGCATATACACACAGACACACAGAGGGAGAATTCCCACCTGCTGGTTCACTCCCCAAATGCCCGCAAGAGCTGGGACTGGGCGAGACCAAAGCCATAAACCAGGAACTCTACTTGGCTCTCCCACATGAACAGCATGGATCCAAGCACTTGGGCCATCACCTGCTGCCTCCTGTGTGCATTAGCAGGAAGCTGGACTGGAACTCAGAGTAGCCATGACATTCCAATATGGAATGCAGGCATCTTGAAAGGCAACATTAACTCACTGCACCTAAACACTTTCTTTAATGTGTCTTTGGATGAAAGTTACCAAAAAAAGAAAAAAAGGTTCGATGCATTGATTTCAAAATCATTACTATTTAGGACTGAGCTAAAGAGGATTGACTTAGAATGAGCCTTGAATTGTTAATTTACGCAAACAGTTCTCTACCACTGATGGCCAACCCACAATCCCAACAAATTTTCAATATCCCTGGTGGCCAATGAGCAGTGGTGTCCTAATGCTGTGGCCGGGAACTGGTTTTCTCCAGAACAATACTATATGGGTAAATTAAAACTACCCTGGGTACCAGGAACCTGAATCCAGATTTTACACAGAAAGAGCTGGGTCCAGCCCTCACAACTTGAACTCTAATAGCAAGAAAACTAAGACCCTGCACTCCATATGACAGAGTTCCCTGCTCTCTGGCAGGCAGAGCCACGTCAGGCTGGCAGCCATGCAGAAAGACAAGCTTCTGAGCACAGGATTCGGTGGGGTCAAGGTGCATCTATTTTTAATACAATTTTCTGAACTTTCCTACTGCACATGGGAAGATGGAAAGATGGAAAGCTGTTTTATTTTTTGCAAATGCTGAGGGGGATGAAGGCTTTTCAGATTAACGGTGGCAGGTGTTCTCATTCTGAATCTCTGGGCAAGATCCAGGAGATGTGGGAATCTTGAAATGACAGAGAGGCCAGTGAAGTCATTGTGCGTGCATGCCTGTGTGTGTGTGTCTCCACACACAGGCACTTGAGCATTTCCCTGGAGAAAGGCCATGGCTTTCATCAGTCTATCAAAAGGGTTTGTTTGGAGTCTATCAACTGGTTGGAAAGTCTGTGATGCAGAATCTCAAAAAAAAGGGGGGATGGGAGGAGGAGGAGGAGGGAAAGAGGTACATTAGTTAAGAGTGCACAGAGAGGTTTAAGGGTGGCCAGGAATAGCTGGATGTGAGGGAAGCTGTGGCAGATAGAAAGGCGGGGAGGGGCTTCTGAAGTATTTCTGTAGACCCTTTACAGAGTGGGAGAATCACACGAGTGGACGGGCGTGACAATGCAGGTGTTCCTGGGATTTTTAGACTGTATTTCATTTTTGGATCTCTACCCTAGGTTGCATGGACCCCTGCAGTATGAGTGTCACTCAGACACCTCTTCCCATGTCTCAGCTCTATTCCCAGATATGAATCCCCTCCAGGACAGGAACTCTGACTGATTCAGTGTCTCACCCTCCTCTACCACCCAAGCTCATTGGGTCAACATGTGCCCAAGGAATGAATGTACCCAACTATAGCAGTGATGAACCAAAACAAAATGTACACCCAGAACAGGTGGGACTCAAGTTGTTACCTGCATCACACAGTCAGAATGTGCTCTTGGGCAAGATGCTGAATCACCCTTGTCCTCAGTTTTCTGCCTACAAACAGGGAGGAATCTCCCCCACCCCATCTAATATGGTTATTGAGATGATTGAATGAGTGCTTTTCTCAAGCTCAGTGCTATTTCTAGCACATAAAAGGCATGCAGCCAGTCATAATTATTGCTCTAAAAAAAAACATGCCTTTGAAAGACTGACTCTTACTTAATTGCTTAAAAATTATTCAGGGTCAGTGGCATAAATCTCACATTGGCACCGACTTCAACAAAATATCATACCATGAGAGCAAAATCTGCCAAGAGCCTTCCGTGCTATCAAGGGGGGAACTAAGACAGGACAGGAGCAGAAAAACAGGAAGCATTCACCTGGCCTCAGGGTCAGAGAAGGGTTTCCCTGTGAAGAGACATTAGACAGAGGAGTTAAAGAAATGGAGTTTGCTTAACACAGTGACTGAGAAAGTGCTGCAGGTAAGGGAACACGTGTGAGAAATTCTGAGGTCAGAAAGAGCTTGTAGGGGCAAGGAACCAGCCAGCATCTCGATGAGCCTGAGCACAATGAGACAATGGTCCCAGACTAGGACCATGCAGGAGTCACCTACTATCCTCATTACAACCACTCATGGGCCTCCCCTTCCTTTCCCTACCCAGGCATCAGAATTCACTGAAAAGCATAACTTGGATCCTACTGCCCCTTTAATGGTTCCTGCTGCCATCAGAGAAAGTCCAAGTTCTTTGCCTTCCCATAAAATGTCTTACTGACCACTGCTGATATCTCCAGCCTCGTGCCACACCAAGTCCCCTGATTCTGCCACACGCACACACACACATGGAACTTATGTGTCCACTGTATCCTTTCACTGCTTCATGTGTGCCACATTCATTGTCACCCCTGGCCCTTTGCACCTGCTCTGCCATGTGCCTGGAAGATGTTGCTCCAAGTCCAGATCTTGCTGTCTCCTTTTTACTGTTTGTACCTCGGGTCTGCCATTGATCTCCTCGAGTGTTTCCTCCCTGCGGATTTTGTTAAGACGTGTTTATTTATTTGACAAAGAGAAGGGGAAGAGACGCAGACACACAGGGAGAGAGTTTGCCCATCCACTGGATCATTCTCCAAATGATTGCAACAACAAACCAGGAGCCTAGAAACCCACCTCATTCTCCCATATGAGTGTCAGGGGCCCAAGTACTTGGGCACTACCTCATGCCTTCCCATGCATGTGAGAAGGGAAATGGATCAGAAGTAAAACAGTAGAACACACAGGGCTCAAATCAGCCCCTAATATGGAATGCTGGCATTGAAAGTGGCAGCTTAACCATTATGCTATAACAGGGACCCCCTCCAGGAATACTTTGTTCTCTGTCATGTCACCGTTGTTTCCTTCATATTACTTATTATTTTCTTAAAGTATTTTAATTGATTTTATTTATTTTACCTTCATAATAGAATGAAAGCCATGAGCACAGACTTTGTCTGATTTTCCGCCCAGTGTTTAAAATAGCATTTGTCATTGTGAGCTCTCAATAAATTTCAGTTGAATGGATGAAAGTGTGAAAACAAGAGTATTGACCAAATCTGAGGTATGCCACAGGCAAGGTTGATTAAGAGCAGGTGTGTCACCTGTAGGGCGTGCACACCTCCCTGTGCCTGCTGTATTCCAACAAAGCAGCCCATACACCCACATTCAGACTGGCTACCCTGGGGCTTGCCCTTCACACAGACAAGCCCTCAACAGAAACCAATGTACAGCTACCAAGCCCTCAATCTGAACACACAGTGGGATGAATAAAAACATGCAGCCCCAGTGGGAGGCCGTGGCAGGGGAGAGTGCCCTGGGTACGACGCGAGTCCTGTCACCTAACAGCGTTGAAGCTTGAACAAAACCCTTTTTTCTCTCCAATCATTGGTTTCTTCGAGAAGAAGAGACAGTGTGATTCCTTGGAAGATGCTCAGCAGATGCTGAGAAGTTCAAGAGCAAGTCAGCCATGCAAAGTCCACCCAGATCCCCTCCTAGGACAAAATAGAGAAGGTGGAGCTGGTCCTAACCCAAATGTCATTCGCTGTCATGCATCTCCCAAGAAGCCACAAGGGGAAAGTGATGCGCAACAGGGGAAGAGGCAAGCAAGGTCTTGATTCCATGCTAGCCCAAGGGAAGGACTAGACATGACCCCTTGTCCATGTCTACCATGTCTGCGAGAAACATTTCATCCATCCTGGGAATCTGAAGAAATCGTGCCATTTTATCACAGAAACTGACCTCCAGCAAATAGGTAACGAATAAACATTAAAGAAGAGTGGAAAACTATGAGTCTGGGTAAAACACAGGTCCTTAAGGCCTCTGTGATGCTCGGGTCAAGTCTGAAACACCCTGAGACACAATTACTTGGCAGTGGTGATGGCAGCTAACTGGAGAATGCCAGGATTAGAATATAGGTTTGCCTCACCAGAGCCCACATTAAGGGTTAATTTCTCAATACATTGATGTTGTGGGGGTGGGATCTAGAGGAAGGTGTTTGGGCCATCGGCAGAGCCCTCATGAGCAGACTAATACTTTTCTCTCAGAAGTGGATGAGCAATTACAGGATTTCAGCCCTCTTGCCTCTCTCGGCATGTGGTTGCCTGCCATTTCCGTTTTCTTCCATTTGTTGCCACAGCATGAAACCCTCACCAGAGGCCAAGAAGATGCCAGCACCATGCTCCTGAACTTCTAGAGTTTGGAGCAAAATACACGGGTTTTTTTTTTCTTTTTTCAGTGTATCCAGGTTCAATAATTCTGCTACAGCCACAGAATCAGGCTAAGATAACAGACCACCACTCCTATGGAGCCATCCTCTGTGTTTAAGAAGAGTCTTACGTCTACAGATCCAATTTTCTTTAGTCCATCAGATACAAGAGGGAGGAATGCAGCACAGATGTAAAATCAGAAGGCATTTCTCAGTACATAACCTCCACCAGATTTTCACTTGATGTGGTGAGTCACATCAAGTCTTGATAGCACACCCCAAAGCCAGCTTCCTTCTTCCAATCCTAAGGCTGCTGTGCTTCTCTCCCAGCAGCAAGGCGTCCATGGTGCTTGCCCCAATTGCCATAGAAAATGGGATTTCAAGTCCAGAAAGTCCCTGACTAATCATAAGGTCCAGGAATTTGAGATTCTGATTAATTGGATTTTTCCAGTCAGGTGAGTGCTCTGGCTTCTGATGGACTTTCTTGTGGTCAGTGCAGTAGGACACTCAGCCTCTGTCACTAAAGAATGGCTTACTCAGCCTTGAGCAACATACTCAATGTGTGTGTTATCTATTGTCACCTAACAAGGTGACTTAAACCTAGTGGCATAAAACAGCACACAATTAGTATCTCTGCATTCCAACGAATCAGAAAGCCAAGCATTGCTCGGCTGGATCTTGTCAGGGCCCACAATAGAGGCATCAGCAGGCTCCGTCATGAGGTCAGGGTCATCTTTAAAGGTCACATGGTTATTAGCAGAATTCAGACCCTTGTGGTTGTAGAACTGAGGTCTCTCTTTTCTGGTCATTTGTCAGTTGTGACCACTATCCACAGTATTTAGCTATATGGCCCTCTCATCTATTACCTTACTAAATATGCACTTGTTTAGGGTTTGCCAGGATCCTCTGAAGTCGATGGAGTCATCATTCCTACTTAGAAGATGAGGAAACTGAGTCCCAGTCAAGTGCTGTGATTGGTCTAGGGTTCCCTACTGGTAAGAAGTCCAGTCCTAATCAAGTCAAAGTTCTCTAGCTTCAAAGCATACATGCTTAATCACTCTTAGAGAGGGATGCTGCCTCTTTTTGTCATGATTTATTTTAATAACTGTCTTTTTAAAAAAATTTTAGAACATATCCCTTCCAGACTAAATATGCAGGTTCTTAGGGAAAGGAACCATTTCATTATTATGTGGATGTCAAGTCCATAGCACAGGCTGTGGCACATAATCAGTAATTTATAAACTTCTGCTCAATGGACAGATAGGATGGGTAAGTTGTGAGTGTCTGGATAAGTATGTGCCTTAGTCAGTGTGGGAGGGGAATGTGAATGGATGCAAATGGAGAAGACTGGCATTAAAGCGGGTGGTTAGCATATAGCTAGCAAGCTGGATGGATGAAGTGGGTTGGTGGGTGTGTAAGAGCTGTATGGATTGGGTGGTACGGAGTGAATAGGAAAGCAGAAGATGAGGTAGGTGGATGGATATATGGATTAGAAGTTTCACAGTTGATGGATGGGTAGGTAGGTGGATGGTTGAATGGGATGGGTATGAGAGTTCAAATACAAACAGAGTAAATGAAAGAATGAGTGAGTGGTGGTGGATAAGAAACAGTGGGTTACTGAATTGTGGTAAAGAGCGAAAGGTGTAAGAAAAAATGTGTGGAAACAGAAAAACCTTCTCTCCCACCTCAGCAACTCCTAGATAGTCTCTGATTTTCTTCTGCAATCATCTTATATCATACATATCGTTTACTTGTAAGAGTCAGGTTGACCCAAATTTACCAGGAAACTTATTACCCATAAAGTTATTTTCAAATCCAAGAATTCAAAAATACCAGGCTATTACAGGAATTTGGAATGAATGCAGTGAGCCGGATGGATACTTGCTAGACAGACAATATGAGAATGGAGACTACCAACAGGCTGCACCCCCAGACCCTGGAGGGCCAAGGCATGACGTCTTTATTCCTGCTCAGAGCCCCTGAAGGCAGAAGATGCTTCAGCTTTAAGAATGAGAATTTTGCTTTTGCAGGAACCGATGGAATCCTACTGGTAAAATAAATAAGTATATCAATCAATCAAAAAATAAAATCTGTGCCAAACCTGTCTCCAATACCAGATGTGGATAGCTGACAGCTGTGACATCACGTAACGCATTCTGGGCCACCCAGGTGCCATTTCAGAGTCGCTCTTCCCTCTGACTTAATTTAGGACGTGTACAGCAACAGTAAGTTAACTGAACATCAACAGAGTACTATGATAAAGACATCAATGTGTGCGCCATCTCGTTCTAAAAGTGATCCTAGTACCTAGGACTGAGATGATCTCAACTGGCTCAGGAATTAGATGAGGTCATCCACCAAGGTCACCCACCTGCTAGCGATGAAAGCTGAGCTTTACAACTGCACGTATCTGATGAGAAAACTCCCGCAGGGCACCTTTTTGTGCTAACCTGCTCCTCTCCAGGGACAGGGAAATCTAGATCCTTTAACAAGGAGGAGCTGTGTCTACCGTGGCTGACATCCTGGAACACATGGCTTTGTAGGACATAGGGATGCAACAGAAGGAGCAGGCAAAGGGAGTAGGCTGAAGAAAACAGTCCCAAATCTCCCTGTCAACCAGGCTAAATTTGGGAACATCTCCCATTTGGCTGACAGACTGGAGGGTGGCAACACTTCTCAAACAACACAGAGTTGTTCAAGAAAGGAACACTATCCAACTCCACTGAGCTTTTGATCCTGAAAAAATGTTCCCAGTCACCAGTAGGAGTAAAGGGAAACCAAGAAGAGCAGAGGAAAGGACGATGCTCACACCACCAGCATGAGCCGGAACTGACGATGCTCACACCACCAGCATGAGCCGGGACTGGGGGCAGGTCGGGCCAGGCCAGGCTACAGCACCCGTCAGTAAATGCCAAGGTGACACGGACCATGCCAGACTGCAGCACCAATCAGCAACACATAAGACCCAGGGGAAGGCAGGAAGTATGAGTCCCTTACAAGGGCTACAGGGGGGCTTCCCTGCTGGGCCACTGCCCCCACTGACGAGCATGAGAACTGGGATCAGGGGCAGGGCTACAATACCTGTCGGCCTGCATGTGCACAGGGTTGGGGGAGAATCATGTTGGGCTGACTGACTATACCCACTGATACATGCATGAGCTGGTTGGGCTTTGCCACAGCATCAGCTGCCAAGTGCTGGGACTTGGGGGCAAATCCTGTCAAGCTAGACTGCAGAACCACTAGGAGAGTGCAAGATCTGGCAAACAGAGTGGGCCTAGTAGGGAAACTGTGGGCACCTCTCTGATGGGTTACAACTCCCACTGGTGAGCATGAGAACCAGGATTGGGGGTGGACCTGGCCAGACAGGAAGTGGCACACACCAGCATGAGTGTGGGCTGGATACTTGTGTCAGCTAGGCTGTTAAGCTTCAGTGCTCACTGATGTATACAAGACCTGAATAGGATGTGATGCATACTGGACCAGCCTGCTGCACATACTGGCAAGCACCGGAACCAAGGCTGGGGGCATAGTGGGGATTATTCGGGGTTGTTCTGACTAGGCTGCAGTTCCCACCGGTGTACATGAGGACTGAGTGCATGGTGAGCAAGGTTGGGCTGCCTACCCATTGGTTTGTGTAAGAGATGGGGCAGGAGACAGAATCAACCCAGCAATTACAGCTACCAGTGTATGCATAGGCTGACGTAGGTGACAGAAAGAACCAGACCCAGTACTGGCAAGCACACACAAGAGTCAGGTCTAAGATCACTTCAGATGAGGTTTCTTTGGGGAACCCCACAACTGATTCACTGGACTCAGAATGAACTCCAACCATGGGGAGAATCGCAGGAGCCGTCATTTGAACATGGAGTGCATGTGTCAGAATTGGGTCTCGTCAGTGGCTTAGGGCAGCAGATGGATACCCAAATGCACATGGAGGATATGGCAGTCCATCAGGGCCTGCAGAGGACATCTGGGTACCATAGCAGAGGATGGAGAACAGAACAAATTGGTCAACTACCCCCAGCAAAGCTTGACAGCAAATATCTGAGCAAATGGAGAGTCTAAGGTAGACTATAGTAGCCAGTAGAGCTTGGAAGGATTTTCTTATCCTTGGAGCAGCGAGATCAGCAGCATTTCAGAACTATAGAAACCACTTGAGCAGAACCCTCAGAACATGTTCCACATTGGGGACCCTGGGATGAAATCAGGCGGCCATTCCCCATCCCCATCCCTGGGGACTAAGGTGGTTGGGAGGCTGGGTGCAGCTTCCCTCTCTATCCCTTTCCCCCAAGATACAGGAAGAAAAAAGAAAATTTGGAAACAATGGTCTCACCCACTTTCTCCAAATCCTCTACCCTTCCCATCCTCATCGACTATGTAAACATCATAAAAAACATTTTTTTAAAAGATGATGATGCCCAAAGGGCTGCCAATATAAGACTTTCAGCAAAATGCTTAGCACAGTACCTCGTACTTAAGAACCTACCCCTATCCTCCTTCCTGTGCTGCACTGTGCAGTTCCTAACTTGTCATTCCACATCCTCTCTCTCCTCTTCACTCAGCGCTGGGCCCTGTGATTCTGTCAGTGGTTCTCTCCTTTTCCATGTTCAGTTGAGTTTAATCAATGGGTGACACTAACAGGAGATAGAAGACCACATCCCCTGTCAGATGGCCCGGTGCAGCCAAGTACACCTCCCTGGGCCCCTTCTTCTCTACAGGTGGCTATGAAGCAGTTCTTACCACATAACAAACAACTTCGGAATCTCAACAGATCCTAATGTGTTCTGCTCAAGAACAGGTGGGTGGCTTCCGTGTTGTTGGACTAGCCGGTGCACATGCTCATAGAACATGAAAGAAGCACACTGGGTGAGTCTACTTCTGTCTATATCCTTTTCTGCTTCACATGCTACTGACCAATAGGCGCCACATGGTCAAGATGAAAACAAATGAGCAGAACTGTTCTTTCTTCCTACCCACTTGGAGCCTTGGCAAGGCCACATGGTTTGGAACTGAAAGCGTAGAAACGTTTTCTCTGTTGGGGTATAATGGCTCCCCACAGCTCAGCCCTGGCAACCAGCGCCACTCCACACTGGCTTTCCAACACCTCATTCACATTTCCATGAATAGCCGCTATATGTATAATCTTAATGGTAACTTTATTATTTAAGTACACTTGGGTATCATTTTTTGATTTAACTCTCCATAACTGCTCAATGTGGAGTTGTCTCATTTCTGAAACACATGCGCTCCTCCTTCAATTGCGTTCATGTTCCGTGTCAGCGAGAGCCTCCTGGGTGTCCAGCATGGGCTGGATGAGAACAGGAGTGGCAAAATATCAGTCCTCTTGCTGAACTCACACGACAGTCCACGTACTGTGCGTGTGTCATTTAGTGACAGCCATCAACCAAGACTGGGGCATTATCATGATACCAGCAGAAGAAAACAGCCTCACAACAGGGAAGTGACTTGCCCAAGGTTACTGAGCTAAGAGGCAAAGGGGGCAGGACTGTACCGAACCCCAGGAGCACTTCACTCCACAGCATTTTTCTCTTACCAACTCCTCCTGACAGCTTCATATTTCAGTGCCAACACACACACACACACATTTCATCCTCATCTGTGCAGCATGTTCCAGGATTCACTCGTCTTACAGAGGAGAAAACCAGATCTCAAAGAACTTGAGTTCAGTTCTCCAGAGTGGGAAAAAAAAGAAAAATCACACCGCCGAAACACAAACTCAGTTCTGACGGATTCAAAACCTCTTGCCTTTCTACCACACCTGTCAATCAAATTTACTCTCTTCCCCAAGACTCTGACCTGGGCAGGCCCCAGTGGGAACTCTGGTCAGCTCTGACCACAGCCCACTGGACAGAGGCTGGCCTCCCCTGCCCTCTGATTCGTCTAACTGCCTGGCATCTCTCCAGGCTAACCACGCTCTCTTGTTCCATGTCAACTGCTTTGGGGAAGTCTCCTGTCACCCTGTTTTACGGTCCTTTCAATGAACAGCAAATCTATATTGATTTCAGACCAACTCAAGCTATAAATTACTGGTCATGATCAGCTTGGAAACCCTAAATGAGAATCTATTGACTGGACCAGGAGCCTAAATCCAATTATCGTTCCAGAAAACCTATTGTTAGGGCTGCCCAATGCCTATATGTAAGGAACTTTTTTTTTAAGATTTTTTTAAATTTTTATTGGAAAGTCAGATATACAGAGAGGAAGATTTTCCATCCATCGATTCACTTCCCAAGTGGCTACCACAGCAAGAGCTCAGCCGATCTGAAACCAGGAGACAAGAGCTTCTTCCGGGTCTTTGACTTGTTTAGAGCGACACAGGATTCCTCTTACGCAAAGCACCAAGTTCAAATGGAAGCACTCCCTGTCGCGCCATACTTGATCATGTAACAGGTATAATTATGAACATTCCAAACAATGAGCACTGGCACACATGGCCCCCTACCCAAAGTGGACATTCACAAAGGCAAAGGGATCCATTTCAAATACAGAAAGATTAGGCTCTTGAGTTGCTTAATGATTAAGTCAATGAACGGAAACGAATTTTATCAACATATTGCAGGATTAAGAACAGTTCTGACTGATTCAACATCAAATGAAGATTCAACACAAAACTCTTTACAAACCCGTATTAGTAACAAATTGGTTCATGAATGTCATTTCGGAGAGTATTTTATCAGTGAGCACACACAAAACTCAAACTCCCCAGAAGCTTCACAGCTCACATATGTCAGCAGGTTGGTACAGTTCAAATACAAGAACCCCAAAATCACACAGGATACCACACAATTATTGATCTCTAACACTGTGATGCTTTTTTTTCCCCCCAAAAAAAGTGATTCAGAGTGACAGATTTCCAGCTATCATGATACAAGAAAGACCGCAACACTTTTTTTCTCCTCCTTTACAAACCAGTGTAGTACCTGAACAATGGACGACCATGCAGGCAAAAACAATGAACTCAGAAAACGCAGGGTCATTCCTTAGTGTCTGTGGACACCTCATTCCCGGAGTCCCCAAAACTGCCCAAATCTGAACACACCCAAGCCACTCACACACAAAGGTATTTGCATATGACCTGCCTTCCCTGCCTCCCCTCGCTTCTCCCCATCACTCACAACACCCGATACAAGGCGCACGCTGTGGGACTCGGTGCTATGCCATACTGCTCGTGGGAATGGAGAACCTTGTTTCTGCCAAGGACCAAAGGAACATTTACAACATCATTCATAGACCATCCAAACTTACCAATCTCAAAATTAGCCTGCTATGGATCGGATTTCAAGCCCCACCTACTGTTGCCTTGGCAGGGCCAGACCAGATGACTTCTTGCAGGCTACGTGGCCTGTGGGCAGATATTCCCCAGACTTGGTTTAGGGAAGAGTGGCAAGAAAGCTGTCACCCGTGTGCCTGCAGCTGCAGGCATTTTCCACTGTTTTTAAGGCAAGGTTGGCCTTGCGTGGATGCAGGTCCCACAGATACCAAAGGCCGTCTGCAGGTGGACATTCAATACGAGTTTCATTTCCTGGGCTGGTGATGCCATGGAATATGGTATTTTGCATTTTTTCTGGGTGTCTTAAAATGGGTTTGGGGTGGTTTCTTCTCTAATTGTACATAAACTTTACTTGTGAAATGAAATTTTTCTTACAATGTCTATTTTTTCTTATGGTGAATAATATACCTATAAATGTTGCAGACACCCAAAACAAAGATTAACACTTTCAGCTACACTGTCATCTCCACCTGTCCCTTCACCATGCCCCGTGAAAAGAAATTCTCTCTCCCCCACGTCTATCAGGAACCCTCAAAATATTCAATACACATGCTTCCAATGAACGGGTAAATCTCTTAAAATCACTAGAAGAAAGAAGATGTTTCTGGTATATTGTTTTAGAATATTAGGACAAGGGTGACCTCCGACTTATAACCATGAAATCACACAATCTGGCACATCCTTGGACTATATTCTACAATACAAACATTAATATGACGTCACAGGCTGGCACTGCGGCACAGCCATTTTGGTGACACCGGCATCCCATTTAGGCACCAGAGCTTGAGTTCTGCCTGCTTCATTTCCAATCCAGCTCCCTACCAATGCATGGGAAAGCAACAGATGATGGCTCAAGTGCTGAGTGTCTGCCCCCCATATGGGATGCCAGGATGGAGTTCTGGGCTTTGGCCTTGACCAGTCTTGGTTTATTATGACTGTGTTCTTTGGGGAATGAATAAGCAGGTGTAAGATTTCTCTTTCTCTCTGAGGAATAAATCAGCAGATGGAATATTTCTGTCTCCCTCTCTTCTTTCCCCTCCTCTTGCTATAATTCTGTCTTTCAAATAAATTAATTTCAAGAGAAGGTGGTGGCTTCAACTCAGTGACGATTAAGGATACTCACAGTCTTCTTAAATAAAACGTGGGAAGGGTGCTCAAGAGGGACCAGAAGGAAGAACACACTGCAGGGGCCGCGAGAAGCGAGTCCCATCATAACCCACCCAGTGCCCAGTCAGCAGGTGCAGCTTGATTGCTGCCAGGCCACTGCCTGCACCACTGCCTCCCCGGGCTCCCTCCCTCCCTTGGTAGCATCTTGATAAGAATGTTTTCACATCAGAACCAACCCAGCAATTGCAGCCACCAGCTGATCGGGGCGATGGACTGTGCCGGGCCCTGTTCTTGCTAGCACATACAAGAATCTGGTTTGAGCACACCTCAAAGTTTATTTGGAGATCTCCCCAATCAAAATGCTGGACTCAGAACCCTAACCAAAAAAAACGAGAGAAGACAGAACAGGTCAACCAATCATCTCAGCTATGATGGACTATGTCAATCACTGGATTCTTCAAGGACCTCATTGTGCTTGGAGTGGCAAGACTGGCAGCGATTCATAACTGCTGAAATATCAAATCCGCTTGAGCAAGAACCTCAGAGCATACCCTCCATCCGGGACCTGGGGAGGGTGGGAAATTGGGTGGGCCTTCTCCCTTAATACCCCCCTTTAAACATGCAGGAAACAATATGGAAAACATATTAGTCTTACCCACTTTCCGGTAGCCTTTGAACCTTTTTACCCTACATAAATTATTTTAAAAAATAAAATAAAAGGGGGAAAAAAAAGAATGTTTTCACGGTACAGCTTATTCTGCAGTTGAAATGGAATTCTTGGGTCTGAGATATCTTCGACTCCTCCACAGCAGGGACACTTAAGGTCAAAGAAGCCCCCGAGATAAATGCATGGATGTGTTTCTCTGGAGAGAACAGCCATAGAATTTGCCATTTTCTGTGGCGTGTTTAAAGCTCCAAGAAGCACTGGAATCACTGAAGAGAGGAGTCATCCTGGGAACAATGATATCCACACAGGCAGGAGCAAAAGGG